GCATTTGAAAACATATGCAAGTTACACATTATAGAAATTAAAATGGTCAACAGTATATCAGTAAGCTTGTAATTCCAAAAATTGATTGTATTTATCTTGATTAGATTTGTCATTTTTATTCTTTTAAAAACCAAACTTTTTTTCTACCAAAAGCGAAATTGCGCTACATTTAAATGTACTTTGACTTTGTATCTACTTTTATGTAGGCCTATACCTACCTCTAAGTGGCTATATAACAATCAATTTAGAACAGAGAGCTTGCCATGCCGAACATCTTTCTCGAGCTTTTTTTTCTCTTGGCATTTTGCCTCTCTTTGGTATACAATGTCATGTCCGTTTGCCTCTTTGTTTTTTTGCCCTTTTGTGTTTTGGGGCACTTGTGTGTTTTTCTGGAAATTGTTGTAGATGACTGCTGTTCAAAAACTATTACCTTGTGCGATTGATTCTAGATGCATTTTCCTAGACAAAATTAACAATAATTCTTGTAATGTTGAGTCAATTTAATATAATTTCCTGAAATGTAAGAGGTTTTGGGAACCAAAAGAAAAGAAAGTCTGTCTTTGACTGGCTAACAATTAACAAATCTCAGATCATTTTCCTCCAGAATACGCACACAGTCGAGAAAGATGAGCAGGTTTGGACAGATCAATTGCCTGGTCATTGCATATTTTCGCATGGAAATTCATTGAGTAGAGGCCATCATCTTTCGTAATCTTCAGGATTATACAATACAATTAGCCACAACAGATTAAATCGGAAGAGTCATTATTATCGCAGTGGATATTATGGGTAAGCCTTGTGCCAGGCGACAGTTCCGGACATTGGGTATCACTGTTGTCTCTCCTGATTTTTTTCTTGTGCTAGTGACGACGCATAGTGCATTTTGCCACAGAAGTCATATTCATGTTTGGGACTACATGACAGGGCTGTGCGGCCATCTCTCTGTCAAATGGCAATTTGTAATGCGCTATGCTGGCGTCAACCAGGCCCAGTCGAACACAAGCACCTGCAGACCTTAACCAAGGTTCCCCCAAAGTCGCATTCGTTAGTGAATGAATCTCGGCCAGTGGAATTGGCCTTCCCATTGAGTCTGTGGCACACTCACCAAGGGTAGGGGTCGACCCTTTGATCTTCAGCCTAAGGTAGGATATGAACTTGGGTCTACCGATCATTAGTCTAATGCGACAACCACTATGCTACCAGTGACAGTGTCTTATGCACCAAACAATGAAACCGATCATGTTCTCTTTTTGGAACCATTATTTCTTTACTTAATTATATTACTATTCAACCTGACAGTGAATTTATTTGGGGAGGGAACCATAATTTTACATCAGATATTCTTCAAAATAGTGTCGGTAACCCGACACTTTGGCGTAACTCACTCCCAAAATTTGAGTATATATGCTCAGAACTTGATTCGATTGACATCTGGCAGCTGCGTAATCCCAGCACTAAGCGTTTTACTTGGGGCGCCTTAGACCCAGGCCTATACAGAGCCGTTTTTTAGTTAGTATCTCGATCCAATTAGCAGTGAGTGTCACAGACATTCTGCCATTCTGCTATAACTTTAACCTTTGGTGATGACCAATGTACGTTGTACGTTAAAGGCGGCGTTTAATTGGATAACAAATATAGTTAAGAGCGACACACATACGGATACATTCAGAGTGGATTGGAGTTAGAGTGATTGTCATAATTATGACATCATATTGAAAATTTACTTGGTAGAAACACATTGACAGCCCAAGCGTGGATTCTTATTACCAAACGCTTCAGCGTGGTATTAAGAATTTGTTTTCAGGGGTGGGTGATACCAAGGTGGACAATGGTTGCACATATGCGGGTAATTCCTGGAATTGCAATAGAGAGGGTTCCGGTCAAAATACAATATATAGTGTTTTCATGTTTCGTCTGATATTTCTGTGGTATTCTGCTTCTGTAACTAATGCAAGATTTGTTCTGAAATTTAGTGTATTGTGTGCACTCAAGGGTTATTCGTTTTTTGCTGAAAACATCCCTATTTTTTAATTGCAGAGTCGAACTAGGTTCACTCCCACTGGGAAATATGCATTGTCGATTGAATGAGAGCTAATTAATTAAAGTATACTGGTTTGAAAATGTTGAATTTGCATGATTTGCGATGTTTTTTTTTTTACTGGAACGCCCCTCATGGTTGATCCCGGGTTTGATGGAGAATGTAACAGCGCACCTCGTGATTCGTTTGAATACAATGGTGAAGGATTGGCAGATAGGACGTAGTTTAAATTAAGTTAAAAGTTTCTCCACAGAATTGCGCATTGGCAAGCATGCCGTACAACTGCGGTACTCCACTGACGGAATGACTTTTGTCGACAGCAGTCGTTGCTGAGCTGCACGCTACAACTTCGCTTCATCTCGTGATGTTACTTCCTATCCGTGGATTGAATGAATCTTGATTACCGGTTAAAATGCTCATTTGGCGTTGGTAATCTTTATGTTGAACTTGGTAACGCCGCAACGTCGCCATCAGAAGCCTCCTGGTACTTCGATGTTGATGGTTGTGCCTCCATGGCAATCGTTAATTTTGCTGCGGGGGGGGGGTCTTCCGAGAGCCCTTCAGGGTTTATAAAACTCAGTTTCCAGGTGGTCAACATACATCAAATTCTCCGCTCAAAAACAGCTGTTACACAGACTGGTTACAACCACATCGAGGTCACGGCTTGTTAGCCTTGCTCAG